CCACCCCCATGTCAGTCCTGTTTTATAACAGTGGCATTATGCAGTATTTGTTCTTTTGTGACTGAGGTGTCTCACTCAGCATAATGTCCTCCAGATTTACCCATTTTGTATAATATTTCATGAGTTCTTTGTTTTCAATGCTGCATAGTATTACATTATGTGAATATACCACAACATCTCTGTTCATTTCATTTGTTGATGGGCACGTGTGTTGTTTCCAACAAAGCCAATATAAACATGGGGATGCATATTATCTGCTTGGGTGGCAGTTATGGTCTCTTTAGGGTTTATTCCAGGAGTGGAATTGCTGGGTCAATGAGTTTTGAAGTTACTGTGTGCTGGGATGTTCCAGGGTGACACAGATGGATAAACACTCCATGGTGGGTAAAAAGTGGGAGATTCAAATATACCTAGCAATATCTAGGGACTTTTCTATATTCTTTGCATGAAATCACCTTAATATTTTTTTTAACACTTCTATTAAAAAGGTATGATTGCAATCCTTGCAGACCTGGGGCCCAGTAAGAACAAGTGGTGCCTAAGGTCATATGGTTAGTATGAAACAGTGTCAAGATTTGAAGCTAAGGAATCTGATTCCAAACCTTGGTCATAACCACTGTGGCACACTGCCTCCTTCCCCACACGAGCACAGTGCTTGGCACATAGTACAGTAGACTTCAGTGAGAATGCTGTTTTCCCTCCATGGACTCTCAGTAACATTAAATGCAAGACAAGCGTAGATAAGAAGTTAATCAGTAAATAGCCTTTCAACTCCAGCAGCCTACAGAGAATAAATGGTATGATGTAGACTAATGGAAGACCTCCTCCCACTTTCTCACACAGAGGGAATTAAACTAAATCTTGGACTTACCTCACCTTAGACTCAGACTTACTGCTACTAATGGACACATGTTATACTTAGGAACATTATTTGCCAAATTGTCAAGCTGACAATGCCTGGTAAGGGACCACTACTGTAGACTGAGAGATTTTAATTGCTTTCTCTCATAAGCCTCATTTATCAGCTATAGCCAGGTGTTTCCAATTCCTCTTACATTTTTTTAAAGTATCAGTCATTAACTTATTTGGAGTCTCTGAGTAGTACAAAAAGCTAATTCATGTGGATATTAACTTACTAGTTGGTGTTACAAGTCTAACCAAAAGCACTTTGGAAGAAATGCTGATGATAAACATCTGAGGGGAAAAATCAGCCATTAAAAACCCTGCATAGGAGAGTATTACTCTCACATGCAAAGAGTCACTTGTTGAATTGACTCAATAGCAACTCATTTTATTCATTCATTTATTCATTCAAAAAGTACCTACAAAGAATCTGCTATGTTCAGGGAATTCTGGAGGTGTAGTCCATAGGGAGTTGTCCTGTCAACTCATAAAGGCTGCTCCTTGCTGGTGGTTCTAATTCATTAGTGGCTCCTCTGGAGAAAGATTAGCAGTCCCCTCCCATTTTATTTGTAACCTTGGAAACCCAGTGGATTGTCAGCTATGAGTTGGATCTGACTCAGTGGTGATCAAAGAAAGACAGAGAGAACCTACTGTATACAAGTCTTGTTGTTGAGTTAATTTTAATAGCTCATAGTTTTTTGGTTATCACCTTTCTCTTTCCCTTTTGTTCCTCTTGTGTGCCATAAAATCAGATTCCACCCATAATTTACCTTCCAGCAGGTTTTCAGAGGCAGTTAATCGTCTGGGAGGTGATTATCCATCCTTTTCCCGTGCAAGGACAACCATACACAAGTCTTAGCACCAATTATGTACAATTCTTGTGTTGCATGTTGTTTTTTGGTTTGGTTTTTTTTTTATTTTAAATTTATTTTAATGAAAGTTTACAGAGACTTTGGATTTCCATTCATTTGTTGTACTTTTCTCCCAGCCTACCCCATTCCCTGCCTCATTTGCTTTTCTTTTTGAAAAGTAAAAGAAAAAATTATTTCACTATTATACAATCCCTTCCCCCAAATCCACTCCACTATGCTACCTTTGTTCTGGACTCCTGTCATAACAATAACATCTAATCATATATCCCTTTTAAACAGTTCTCTCTCTCATCTGTTTCAATGCATTATACATTATTTATCCCATCTTTCTCAGTCTTACCCCAACCCTTATGTCAATCCCGTTCTACCACTCTCAGTGCAGTATTTGTCCTTTTGTGACTGAGATGTTTCACTCAGCATAATGTTCTCCAGGGTCACCCATTTTGTGTAATATTTCATAAGTTCCTTGTTTTTGAATGCCACATAGTATTCCATTGTGTGAATATACCAGAGCTTCTCTATCCATTCGTTTGTGGATGTTTTGTAGTTGATGGGTGCCATTTAGTCAAGTGCAACTCACAGCAATCCTATGAACAATAGATGTGAATCCTGTCCTCCCCTGTGCCATCCTCATCATCTCTGACACACATGAGCCCTATAGACATAAATAAATGAGACAGCCTCTGCTGTCTAGCAATAGTCAACAGGGAGTGTTGAGTTCTCAGCAGGTAAGTTGTCCTAAAAACTAGCTCTGCCCTGCTGCTAAGCAAGAACTTCACAACAGAGACCATGTGGTCAAGATCTGGAGAGATGGATTTTGCTTTTTTCAGCTGGAGAAGTGGGTGGGCATCCTGGAATTATAAACAGAAACACAAAATAACATGCACATTCAGTAACATTAAAGTACAAAGTGGTTGGAATAATTGTGGTAAGAGCTCTTAAGACACTGTTCTTTGACACTCATCGGGCAAGAAGGTCACTTTTGTTTCTTTTTCAAAAACAAATTGTAATCCTGTTCCAGCTCCTGTGCACCAGGGGAAGGTGGTGGTGAAAGGTCTAATGTCAGTCTGGTTGTTATGACTCTTCCTCTCCCTTGGGTTTAGCAGAACTCTAGGTTCTGGAAAGGGAGAAGGGGAGAAGATGTGGGCTTTCTTTTTGTGCTGATCACTCACCCTTGTCCAGGGCCATGCAGTCCATTTGGAGAGGAGTCTTGCTGAGAGCTCTACATTTCATTCCTTTTCTCCCTAAGACAAACACAACCCAGGTCTTTGGTCACAATATGACTAATTGCTTCTTCGAGGGAGCAAGATTGAATAGTGAGAGGGATGCAGAGAGATGGTATTTTAATTCTCTGTTGTCAAACCCCATAACAGCAAGGAAATTTAAAAAATAAAAAAAAAAAACCCAACCACCCAACAAAACACAAGTTAATGGCTCAATAAACATCCTGCTATAGGAATAGAAATGAGTTCCTGTTCATTCCCTTTGCTGACAGTGGTCTGGAGAAGAGAGATGATTCCCTCAACTCACATGGCCTGCCCATGGGACTAGGGTCAAGGTGTGGGGTTAGATCTGAGTGCTGACAAGTGCCTTCATGTCTCCCGCAGGTGTGGCAATGTGGTGGGAGCGTGGAGGTCCTTCCCTGCTCAAGGATCGCCCACATCGAGCGAGCGCATAAGCCTTACACTGAGGACCTCACCGCCCATGTCCGCAGGAATGCTCTCAGAGTGGCTGAAGTCTGGATGGATGAATTTAAAAGTCATGTCTACATGGCGTGGAACATACCCCAAGAGGTAGGGAAGCCCTGTGGAGGTGGTTTTCTTGGGCTTTGAAGGAAGAGGAAAATATAGTAGATTTCTCTCATGGTTTAACCAGAGTCTTCTTTTCCATGGTATAATGGGTTCTCAACTCCCAAATACACTACTTAGGATATCAGACTTTGATATAGATTTTAATCCTGCAGGCTTTGCACTGGGAAAGTCTGCAGTCAGGGACCTCTCCAAATTATGGAGGAGCAATGATATTAGTTTGCGCACTCAGGAACATTCTGATTCTTTCCGATCACTTGTTATGCATCTGAGAGCTGGACAATGAATAAGGAAGACAAATTGATTAACAAGAATTGATGTCTTTAAGCTATAGTGTTGGAGAAGAGTGCTGAACATATCATGGACTGCCAAAAGAACAGATGTGTCTTGGAGAGGGTGCCACCATAGTGCTCTATCAAGGCAAAGATGATGAAGCTTTGCCTCACATACTTTGGGCATGTTGCTAGCAGGGGCTTTTCCTTGGAGAAGGACATGATGCTCAAAAAGTTTGAGGGTCAGCAACAGAGAGGAAGATCCTCAACCAAGTGGATTGACATAGTGACTGCTCAATGGGCTGTACTGTGTCAGAAAATGTGAGGATGGCACAGGATGGGACAGGGTTCAGATCTAACTAATATTGTTCTCTGTGATTGAGAAGAGAGCTCGGGTGGCCTTGTTCATAAGGTCATTATGGGTTGTACTTGACTCGATAGCACCTAACAACAACAACATGAGATGACTGAAAACACTGTGCAGCTTAATCTTTAATGTAACATCCTTGTTCTTAACCACCATGAAGAGGTTTTTAGCAGCAGATTCACCCAATACAATCCATCGCTATTTCTATAGGTGTTCATTGTGGAGCCATATGACAAAAGTCACATAATGATCTTAAATTTCCCCTAGATTGAATTCAAGCTCCTTCTCTTGAACCTTTGACAAGAGTAATACGAAATAGACATATGCATTTGAAGGTCAATATGAATTGGGATTGGTTTTGGCATTTCCTGAGCCAAATAAATGGGGACACAATGTACTCACATAGGGACTCTCACTAGGACCAAAAAAAAAAAATGACCCTGGGTTTACTTTAGGCTGATTCCAGCCTCAAAGAACCTCCTCATTGCCTCCCATGTCCCTCGATCCTTTAATCACCTGTACGGTCAGATGCTCGAGAAAAGGCAGTGTTTCACTAGTAATTTTACTCAACCTTGCTGTGTGTCATATGGAAATGACTTTGTCCGCTGAGGAGGGAGAACCAACAGATGCCAACCGCAGACTTCCAACCTGCTTCCCAGCCTGTCTGCCTAGAGTTCGTCTCTTATGTTGCATTCAGTGTGAAATGATGCTATAGACGGCATGACTTCTTTTGTCCTTCTCAAGGCCATGGCTCCCTCTTGGGAATCTTCCAGAAAGCCTCAGCTCCCTCTCACTAACAATGAAGCAGCTTAAAGTTCCTATACAGAAGCCCTGCTCCTTGACGTTTTCATCAAACTAATATTGCTCTCTGTGATTGAGAAGAGAGCTCTGGTGGCCTTGTGGTTAAGAAGTTGTGCTGCCAATTCAAAGGCAGGCAGTTCAAATCCATCGGCTGCTCCACAGGAGAAAGATGGGCAGTTTCCTCCTATGTAATTTATGGTCTCTGAAAACCCACTGGAAGGTTAGCTGCTTGTATATTCTGATTTGACAGCGATGAGTTGAGTCATTGACATGATTGAGAAAGTAAACTAGATCATACATGGGCCAGAATATTTAGGCAAAAGAGGGAGAAGGGTGAGGAAAGCAAAAAAGAACAGCTGGATTGTAGACCCTGAAATCAGTGAGATCCTGGCAACTGGGAGGAAGAGTGAGGAACCAAGCAGTCCCAGCTTCTATGTAGCCAACCCTAATGCACCAGCCCCTGGATTGCATCTCTAAAGTGGGAGTGTTTCTAAGGAAACCAAGATGCCTTCTGGACGTGTCTATGGCTGTGGGAGTTGGATCACCGTTTTCTGCGCAGGGTATGGAGCTCTGCCGTGGGTGTCCCCTGATGGCAAAATGTTAAGAACGTTTAGAAACTCCTCAGGGGCTCAGTAGTGAAGCGTTGTTGATCCTCAGGCTCTGCTGCAGGACAGGAGGCCTGTCCACACTCCTGCCCACGTCTCTCTTCATGTCAAGCTGCAAGCCTGTCAGCCCTGTTCCCCCTGAAGCTGACAGATACTGAGATGGACATCAAATCCAGCAGATGAAAGAGAACGGAGGGAGTGAAAATAATTGGGAAATTCTAAAACCCAGTGACTATGACTCCTCAGAGAGGCATTTCAAGCCTAATCTAGTGGTTTGTGAACATGAGAAAGGCAGATAAGAGGTGACATGTCCAGGAGACAGCCTTAGGTGGAGAAAGAAAGGGTCAGTGCTTTCATTTAAAAATCATCTCTTGATCTCCTTCTTCCCTTCTACACCCAAACGCCTTCTCTTATATTTTACAAAACTTCTAGAGAGGTGGCTCATTGTTATATCCCATTCATTCATCAGGTCAAATCCTAATATTATCTGGAAATCCATACTCTCCCATTTAGGTGAAAATGAGGCATGGCTTGTTTACATATGAGACCCTTAAGACAATGCCTGACAGATAAGAGACATTTAGTAAACATGAGATTAAAAAGGAAGAGGAGGAAGTGTAGACAATGGATGCCCTGTTTGTTTCCCTCTTGTTAGACTGACAAATCTGTTACCTGTTTACTTAATGTTTTGTTTACAGGCCCTACCAGTTCCTTGAGAATAAAATAAGTTCGGGTACGTAAAGATATTGAACAGTGCCTGGCACAAAGTTTTAACTAAGACTTAACTGTTGTTATTAAAATTATTACTTATACCTATTTATTTTCTCCTCAGTTTTAAAACAACTCTTGCTGGGCAAAGGCTTCCTGCCCTTTGCTGTCTCTGCTGAGTCCCTTTGGGGCCGTGTGCTGGGGTCAGCTGACCCTCCCACCTGCCTCTCACCACCTTCAGCCTCGAGCTTCTGAAAGGTCAGAGGCTCTTCCAGCTCTCACATCCTTCGGTTTAAATTGAAAATCAGTTTGCTTGTTACCAAACAGGATGTATCCATATATTCCTAGAAAGGGTTCAGGAATTCAAGCTCGGCTCCTGTTTCCACTACTCTAGGCTGAGTGCCAGGGATAGTCCATGTGCTCCTGCTTAGACAATGGTCCTTTCTTTACGTTGGCTGTAGTTGCAAAGCCTAAGCCATCTAGATCTTATTACCATGTTGCTGCACACACGACAGGAGTAATGAGATGTTTCAGTGCGTGGCTGAATGTCTTTGTTTCCATAGAACAGCAAGGCAAACCGAGCACCTTGAATTATCAGAAATTTATTCTCTCACTGTTCTGGAGGCCACATGTCCAAAATCAAGGCGCTGTTGCTGCCACGTTCCTTCCACAGCTCTAGGGGGAAATCCTGCCTTGCCTTGCCTGGCTTCTGATGGCTGCTGGCATTCCATAGCTTGAAGATGCCATGCTCCAATCTCTACGGAGTATATCCATGTTTCTCATTGGGAATCATATTTGTATCACCATTTCTGCTTTATGGTGGGTTCAGCCTTAAAGGGATTCAGGGACAACCTCCCTGACTCATCTAGGAAGTGGGATATGTGGAGTCTCTACCCTAAGACTCCTAGGCTTAAAGAAATAATTTTGCTTTTACCACAAGGACTTGATCTCAGCAAGAAGAACAGGATCTTCCAAATGCATAGTTTTAGGTTAAAAGCACAAACTGTATACCCAAGATGATTGATTTGAAATCTCAGCTCCATTACACATTAGCTTTGGGATTTTAGAAACATTATCCAAGAGGTTATGAATCTCTTTTTGTATTGATTCCTGACACTGCCAGACCTTCAACGAGGTGGATTGAAAAGTGACTCTATAAAACAGTGGGTTCAAGAATGTCAGAGATCCTGGGGAAGTCACAGGATGGAGAAAGGTTCAGCTGTTTCTGAAGGCTCACTGTGAGTCATAGCCAACTCGAGGACACCTGTTAATATCACCACCACAACATATGTTTGAATGTGACAGTGGGTATATGTAAATATCAAAGAAAATCAAATTATCACAATGTATTTGTTTTTAAGTCTTCTTGGTACTGTTGTTGTTAGATGCCACCAAGTTGAGTATGACTCATAATGACCTTATGAACAACAGTTCTGATTTCTGTCCTATCCTGTGCCATCCTCACCATCTCTGATAGACTTGAGTCCATTGCTATAGGCACCAAGTCAATGCATCTCAATGGGCATCTTTCTTTCTGTCGCTGAACCTCCACCCTTCCAAGCATGATATCCTTTTCCAAAGAATATTCTCCTAGCAACATGTACAAAGAATGAGAAACAAAGCTTTGCCATCTTTGCCTCCAAGGAGCACTCTGGTTGCACCTTTTCTAAGGTATACCTGCTTGTTCTTTTTGCAGCCCATCAGAAATTCAGTACTCTTCTCCAACACCACACCTCAAAGGCATCAATTATTCTTCACTGATTATTACAAATAGTGTTAGAATTAGTATTATTTAATCTTTGCTATCTTCTCTGTCTTTCTTACCTTACAAATCAATGACTCTTATCTCTTCAAGTAGGAAAAAACTTTACATTGTCATCTCATTTCCTGGATGGTCTAGTGGTAAAGAGTTACACTGCCAACTTGAAGGTGTGCAGTTCTAATTCACTAGCTAACTCACATGAAATAAAGATGGGCAATCTCTTCTATGCGATTTACTACCCCTGAAAACTTTCTAGAAGGTCAGCTATGGGTCCATCCCACCTTAATGGTAGTGGTTGTTGTTGTTGTTGTTGTTGTTGTGTGCCATTGAGTCACCTGCGACTCATCGTGACTCTATGTACAACATCCCTAAACGTTGCTCTATCCTGTGCCAATCTTATTGTCTCTCACACACCTACCCCCATTACCCCAGTCACTGAATCAGTCCATCTCGTTGAGGGTCTTGCTCTCTTGCACTGTCCCTCCAACTTCCCAAGAATGACATCCCTCTCCAAGGATTGTTTCTTCCTTGCAACATGTCCAAAGTATGTCAGATGAAGCTTCAGAATCCTTGCCTCCAGGGAGCAGCCTGGTCTGACCCTCTCTATGATGAACTTGTTTGTTCTCTTAGCAGTCTATGGTAACATTCAATGTTCTTCTACAGCACCAAAGCTCAAAGCCATCAATTTTCCTTCTATCATCCCTAGTTATTGTCCAGTTTTCTGATGCATAGCAAGTAATTGCAGACTATGGCCTGGATCAAGTACACCTTAGTCTCCAGTCTGACATTGTTGCTCTTTAGTAATCTGGAGATGCCCCTGACAGTCAACATTCCCAATGCAATTCATCTTTTGATTTCCTGGCTGCTGATACCAAGAGTGTTGAATGTGGAGCCAAACTAAAGCTGTTAACAGCCTCAATCTTTTCACTATCTATCATGATGCTGCCAATTGGCCCAGTGGTGAGAATCTTTGTTTTCTTGAACATAACAATAACAATAACAAGACTATAGCTACAGTTTTTTAAATTTCTTTTGCTTTTCAAAGAGAGGAGCGAACTGGGGGGGAGGGGGCTGAGCAGGGAGAAAAGTGCAACAATGAATGAATGGAAATCCAAAATCTCTGTAAATGTTCATTAAAATTAATAAAATAAAATTTAAAAAATATTATTATTTAAAATATAAAGATCTGACCTCTTTCTTCTCAGGAGCCTTCAATGGTAATCCTTATCAATGGCTGAACTTACTTTTCTGAGTCCAAATGTGGACAGTTATGGTGTAAAGGTACGTGGGGGGAAATGCATCAGCTAACTTCCTACATGGTCCTTTCACAAGACAGTCTCCAGGAATCTTGGATGGTGCCTTCTGGATCCTTTGTGGTTTGCGGAGACACTGCTTTCAGTGGTGACTGAATCTCTGCATTTATCTCCTTATCCAGGACTCAGGGATTGACATTGGGGACATCACCGCTAGGAAGGCCCTGAGGAAGCAGCTGCAGTGCAAGACCTTCCGGTGGTACCTGGTCAGCGTGTACCCTGAGATGAGGATGTACTCAGACATCATTGCCTATGGGGTGGTAAGGAGCCTGCCTTATTCACACACAGACAGGGAGCTAAGCAAGAGGAGATGCAGAGAGTAAGGTGAACAGAGATGATCCTCTTGGCCTCCACAGAGGGACCTCTTGGCCAAGAAGTTGGTTTATGGGATGGCAAAGCAGCCTTAAGGGATCCATGACTGCCTAGTGGGTAAGGGGTTGTCCTGCCAACCCGAAGACAGGAGGTTTTAATCACTCAGGAGTAAGATGGGCCGTTTTCTCCAGTGCAATTTATAGCCTTTGTAAACCATGTGGAGTATGAGCTATGAGTTGGTCCAGACTTGACAACAATGAGTTGTGTCTGAGTTGAAAATAGCTCTTTCACTAGAAGAGACTACCCATCTTTCTCCCACAGAGCTGTGTGTGGATTCAAACCACCAGCCTTTGCATTGGTAGTGCAATACCTTACCCCTAAGCCACCAGAGCTCCCTCATAAACACTTAAGATTGTTCCACTCCTAAGTGAACAGTGACTCTGCTTGACTCTCTTCTTTGCTTATAGGCCCCCTAGCTCTTTGACCTTATGCTTCCTTCATGCCTGTCACACAGAATCCAAGGAGTTAACCTGTGGCTAGTCCGGGAAGAAGGGACATGAGGAAAGAAAACACAAGAACAGTGCCTCACACCATGGCCTTCTTACAGTTTGTCAGAGCAACATCAAGAGGACATGCTGTGGTTGGAGGGTCATTAGCCACATGTGACTATTTAAATTAAACTACATTAAAATGAAACAAAATTAAAAATGCAGACCTTCAGTCCTACTAGACACATTTCAACTCCTCAACAGGTGCATATGACTTAGTGGCTACCACAAGAGACAATGAGATATAGAATATTTCCATCATCACAGAATGTTCTGCTGGACAGAGCTGCTTGAGAAGTGGAATTAGGTACTTTTGGGGGGGGCAGGGAGAAGAAAGAACATGAGTAAGAGATTCTTGTAGTTGTTGTTGTGTACTGTTGAGGAGTTGAAACTAACTCATAGCTGATTCTCCAGTAGGTTTTCAGAGGCAGTTAATCACATGGGAAGAGACTGCCCATCCTTCTCCCATGGAGCATCTAGTGGCCTTGAACCACGTGCCTTCTGGATTGCAGAACTGCTTTTTGCCACTAGACCACCAGCGCTCCATAAGAGATACTTAGTCTTGTCTTTTATTGTCCTAAGCAGTTCAGCTCTAGTCCTATCTACATATTCCATTTAGTAAAACAAAACCTTGTAGTCAATTTAAAATTGGAAGACAGTGTAATAAATGCTGGCTTTACCCAAGCTTAAATACCTAAAGATTCCATAATGCCCTGGCATGCCCCTCCACCCAAGAGACTTATGCCTTCAAACCACGCACAGAACCTTCCTAAAAGGAGTCCTGAGAAATACAATGTTCTTGAGCTCCCTCTGAATTCCTTTTTTAAGACCAGTTGGAAATATTTACTAAAGTTTAAAATGTGCCTCTTTTAACAACTACATATACAGAAATTAGCCTGCTTAAAGGGCTTTTGCAATCAATAAGAATGCATCTGAATTCCAAAATCAATCTCCATAATAGTCTATGTGTTTCCTACTGCCAAAGGGGCCCTTTAGAGTAGTGAGAGAAGATCTTCACCCTGAAGCCCACAGCGTCCCTTTTCAGCAGGAAGTAGCTAAGAGAATACGCCATCCCCTTTTCCTTATGACTCAGGGTGAAGTCTCTCTCAGGGAGGAGTGATAGGGAATGGCAAAGGACACACTGACAAAGAAGATTAATCAGAACTGGCTTTGACAAGCACTGTGGCATTTGGACAAGAACAAACTGGGAGGAGGGTAGAGAGAATAGTGCAACAATGAATGAGTGGAAGCCCAAAATCTCTGTAAATGTTTATGAAAATTAATAAAATATAATTATAGGGAAAAAAAAGGGCTTTTGTTGGTTGGCAGGAAGCAAGATAGAAAAGGTTTGGATCAAGGGGTTTAGAATCATATAAATAGATTTTAAATCATAACCATACAATTTTCCAGGCAAGTGCCTTAACCTCCATGGGCTTCAGTTTCTTCTTAGGTTAAACAATGTAAAAAATGTCCTCATAAAGTTAAAGAAAGTCTATGATATGCAAATAGGTTTCAGTCTCAGGTTAAAATACTTTGATTTGATAAACACTTGCATTCTTATTCCCAGAAGCATACAACTCTTGAAATATTTCAAATGACAGCTGATTGAATTTTTTTAAATACCTCACTTGATTTGCAATGACTTACAGTCTTAATGTATGAATTTATTTTGGGTGGTTTTTTTTAAACTGACATTTAAATCCTCAACACTGCCCTCTGGGGTTCCCTTCTACACTCACAAAGTGACTTGTCCATATTAAGAAAAAAGCAAAACAACATGTACCATTACTGTCAAGTCAACTCTGATTCAGTGTGCCCTCGTGCTTATAACTGTAGCTCCACAGCTGTTGTTTGCACGTAATTGACAGGCCATTTTCCCAAAGTACCTCAGAGGAGATTTGAATCACCGATCTCTTAACGTTTTGCACCAGTCACAGCTAATAAACAAGGAAGTTGAATCTAAAACACTTAGCTTTTGAAACCACTCTGATTCCTTTTTTTTTTTTTGGAGAGTGTCTCCTTGGACCTGTCTAATATTCTGGGACAAAAACTTTGAAGGACTAGTGTCTTCTCCTTCAGACTCATGCAGAACCCTGCTCAAGGCCAGCCTTCGCAGGACTGCCCTGGGCAAAGCATTGCCCAACAGACGGAGCTGGACTTGCTAAGGCTTTGGGCTCAGGATTGTTTATGGACTTGCCACTGTGAGCATCTTGATATTATGAAGGAGCCAGAGCCAGGATCTATAAACATCTGGGCCCTCTGTGACCCCAGAGGCCAGCCTGTAGGAAAAAAGCCCCATCCTCCCACAAGAATACACACAGCACAGTTGACTAGTTCTAAAGTAACTACCCAGGGGCATCTTGTCTCTCCCCTCCTCAGGCTGGTGTGATTCATATGTCAGAAAACTATTCAGCTGGTGCTGCCCAGCTATTCTCTGAGGCTCCAGATCCACTCATCACCATGGAAACATGCTGGGCTGAACAGTGCCCCATCCGCCCTCCTACACCCCCCAGAAGTATCCTGAGGACACAGCCTCTACTATGCCCGTATATTGACCCAAAGCAAGCTATGTGTTGTGTAGGGCTGGCCTGGGACTCAGTATACTGTCCATCAGTCTACTGTCACTCCAGAGATACTATTGGCCCCAACCAAGTCTTTAAGCCACAGCAAACTTTTAAACTTGTGTTTTCCACAATGCTGTCAACTGAGGCTGAACAGAAATAGCCACATTCACCAAGAGTGACAAAGGAGCAACAACAATAGAGTGTGTACTTGCAGCCATTACAGTTCTTGGTCTTGACTAAAGGCACTCTCATCCTTCAAGCAAGTGTCTCATGTACATGGACAGAGGGTTTTCTATGTAGACCTCTCAATGCCACACCTCAAACCTTTCACTGATCAAAAGTGAGCGGCATATAGAGAGTTGTTTTCTAGACCTCTCTGAGTCCCAATAGCCAGGGCTGTTTCACTGTGTCGTGCTGAAAAGCCATGCACTCATCATCTCTGATGGTTCAGCTATGTAGCAATCTCAGAGGCTAGCAGAGATGTCTAACCCCCTGCACGCTCATCTGCCAGCCACTGATCAGGCCCCACCGCTGCTCCAGCCAGCTTCTCCTCCCTCAGCCCCTCCTCTGTAAGCTGGGTCCTTACATGAGTGGTGGTCCAGTTGCTTGTAAAGAGCAAAATGACTTCCTAATGGGGGCAACTGGGTGAAGAGAGTGAGGCAGGAAGCAGCCAGGAGAGATTTGCTGTCTTGGAATCATTCCACCTGACGATTATCTTTATCCTGAAATGAAGAGACCTAAAATCTATTCAGGCACAGAAGTTTCTTCCTTGTGTTCTTTTCAACTCACGCCCAAACTACATTGTTCCAATTAGATGACTTCTCTTGGACTCACAAGGCAGTGTTGAATCTATCACTCAGCCCTTTAATCCACTGATGGGTCCCAGGAATTGCTCCTGCTGGCAGAAGGGCCAGTAGGACCTACTGGGTGAGAATGGCATTCCCAGGAGCACTGCACTGCAGGCCTGCTGATGGGTAGTTTTGGATTCATTCCTGGCCTGGTGCTAGCATTACAAATAGGGCGGCATCTGGAGGCTCACATGCTTGACTTCTAAATGTTAGCTTCATCAGTTATTCATACCTTGACAATTCGCAAAGCCTTAATTGTTCTAGTAATACCATTTAAAAAAATTCTTTTATATTCGTTTGTAAATGAAGATTTACAGCCTCAGAAACATGATGGAGACTCTTCATGAATTGGAATTGATTAAATCACAATAGGTTAAGCTCTCAGCTGCTACCTCAGAGGTTGGTGATTTGAGCCCACCAGTGTGCTCTGTGGAGGCGAAGAAGGTGATGCTTCATCTCACGTGTTTTGGGCTTATCGTTAGGAGAGACTATTCCCTGGAAAGAGATGACATGCTTGGAAAGGTGGAGGCTCAGCCAAGGAGAGGAAGACCCTGGATGAGTTAGATTGATATGTGTCTGTGGCAATGGACTCAGATGTGTAAAGGGTGATAAGGGTGGTGCAAGATAAGGCAGAGTTAAGATCTGTTGTTCCAAGGGCCACTCTGAGTTATACTCCACTTGACAGCCCATAACAACAACAACTGCTCAGAGCTCTGGTGGCTTCGTGGTAAGCAGTTGTGCTGCCAGTGCAAAGATACATGGTTCAAATATGTGGACTGCTCCACAAAAGAAAGAGAGGTGATCTTCTGAGTAATTTACTGCCTCAGAAAGCCTGCTGGAAGGTCAGCTGTGGATTGGTTCTTGACTGTACTCAACAACAACAATGGCTTTGTAGAAGAATCGACTTCTATGAAGATTACAGCCAAGAAAACCCAATGAGGCAGTTCTATACTGTTGCATGGACTCTACGAGTCAAAATCAGCTCAAT